GGGGGGTTCAGGTCTGGCTGGAAGGTGCCCGTGGGGTGGGGGTTCAGCAGGGTCAGTGTTGGGGGCAGACGGGACGGGGGGCTCTGGCAGGGGGGCACGTCCGGGGGCTGCGGGACCCCCGGTCTGAGACCCCGTTCCCTGTGCACGCTCCGTGCTCCCCGCACCATATAAGGAGCCGTAACCTTGATTGCCACAAGCTGATTCCACGTCCATGGAGTCATACTTTGCAGCTTTCGCATGATTTGCTGCAAAAGCCGGGCCGCGGTGCCCCTCTGCCTCCCGGCGGCTGGAATGTGCGAGGGCCCCGCCGGGGGCACGCGGGCACATTAACGCCGGCCCTAATTAAACTCCCGGCTCCAGGGGGCTTTACCTCTCCCTGTCTGATAAGGAAATTGTGGCGATCGGCTCACTCTAAATTGGAAATAAAAGATTTGCGGCTTCTTGGGAAAGTTTTCTAAAGAGTCACTTTTTGGTTAGTTCTGTTCAGGACTTACACTACGTTTTGAAGTTCATTTCCAATGTAAAACTGGTTTGATGGGGGTCCTGGTGTCTGAGGACGGACGTGCAGAGTTTCGTTACAGGAGTGCTGTGTGGGACGGTGTTACGTGGGATATAGAGCTCTCGTCGCAGGGTTTGGTACGGGGCTGGCCCCATCTGCCTGCCTCTAAAAGCTTTCTTTCCCCCCCTTAATTTTCTTTGTGAAGTAGTTAAAGTCATTGCACAGGTTTTGGTGGATTTCTTTTCTCTCTCCTTGTTTTAGTTTTGTTCAGGGGGAAAAAGAGCCGTGCCTTTCTGAATATTTTGAATCGTCCAGTAACGTGTTTGTGGCACGGCTCTGGGAGTCCCGTAACAGCAAAACCCCTGCCTTTGCAAATGACAGAAAATATCAGTATATATTTAAAGACAAAACAAAACAAGAAGTCTTCTAATGTCCCGATTTTAATTTTTAACTTCATTTTGAGGCAAAGCCTGACAAGTTTGGTTTCAGGAACTGCCCGTGTTTGCAGGAGAACATAAACACCAGCAGATGGGATCTTTGCTTTTTTCATGTGCATCTTTCCCGTAACTTTGCCTGCTGTTCTGCTGCCCACGCTGCATAGAGCAGCCCGAGGGTAAAAGAACGGGGTGTCGCGGTGGCGGGGGTGGGTTGCCCCGAGCAGGGGTGGGTTGCCCCGTGGCAGGGTTGGGTTGCCCTGAGCAGGGGTGGGTTGCCCCGTGGCAGGGTTGGGTTGCCCCAAGCAGGGGTGGGTTGCCCCGTGGCAGGGTTGGGTTGCCCTGAGCAGGGGTGGGTTGCCCCGTGGCAGGGTTGGGTTGCCACCATCCCCTGCCCCGTGTCCCGTCGGGGGGAGCGGTGCAGCCATGGGCTGTTCAGAGAGAATTTATCCAACAGCTCAGCCTTCAGAGAGCTCTTGCCGAGCAACAGAAAGGTTAAGGCAAGGACTGGAAAGGGAATAAAGTGGAAGTGAAGTGTGGTCTGTTCTGAGAAACAACAAATATACCCTTGTTTATCAACACTATTGGTGTTGAGTTAAATTTCAGCTTAAAACTGCTTTGGGGAGCCTTGGGTTAGCGTTCTCGTCCTGGGAGGGTATAGATAAAGAAATGAAAATCTGCTGGGTGTTTGCGGAGTTTGGCCTTTAGGAAGGTCAGTAAACAAACACTAATTTCTTTTTGGACACAAAAACCTGAATTGTAAAGATGGGTTTATAGGTGCTCAGGGTAAAAGCAACTTTAATTCTTAGTAAAATCTTGATAATTCTCTTAGTAATATTCTGGTTGTTTCTCAGTAATATCTTGATAGAAACACATGACTCAGAGGAAATGAAAATTCCATTTCCGCTGACTCAGGGGGCTCCGGGCAATGAAGGTGCTCCCCGTGTGCCCCCTCCAGAAGTGGGGTTAGTGTGGGGTGCGATTCGGGGTGCGATGGTGGAGCAGGAGAGGCAGCAGGGATGGAGGCAGTGTGATTTACTGGCTGTAAATACCTCCGGGTCTCAGAGGCAAGAACCTCACAACCGCGGGGCTCCAGCGCCGCTGCGGAGCGTTAGGAGCTACAAAGAAATGCTGTCTTTAGTGGGGGGTGAAATTTTGAATTCTTGATTTGCAGTGTCTTTCTGACACTAAAGATGAGGTCTTAATGTATCTCTTAGGAGAGATATTTTGTGTACAAGTTCAGGTTCTGACTTGACAAAAGCAAACGATGTGCTGGCAGTGAGCTCTCCCCAGCGAGGTGTGCTGCGGGTCTGTCCCTCCTGCAGTCAAAGCTCTTCACAAACCAGGACCCAGTCCTGTCTGGCAACCGTTGGCCAGGTCACAAGGAGTGAAATTTCAAGTTGGTGTTTATGGAGGAGGCTGTCAGGAAATGCTGATGTCCCGCCCCCGGGAAGTGGGGCTGTTTCTCTGGGGGGGGGTAGGATTTAAGTGTTACCTGTTGGGTGGGAAAAGGGGCAGTTCCCGGGCGGGCACAGGGGGTCCCTGCTGGAAATAACCTCACGGGGGGTAAAAACCTCACTCTGGATGAAGGAGCTCCAGCATAATGGGTAACTGACATGTATCTTCATCTGAAAACAGGAGCATGTTTGACATAATAGGCTTATTGAAAAATTGGAGATAATTGGGGGTAGATGTGTGACAGTGATTTGGGGTGCAGGCGCTGCAGAACGCTGGCTCCTGAGTGCACCCCCAAAAAGTAAAGGCAAAATTCTTCACAAAGATCTGGCCAAAACATTTCACCTGTGTTTTTCCTTCAACAAGCTGAAGAAAGGGAACCAAAAATCAAGCACATTTTTTATTTCAGATTCTTTAAAATTATTATTAATACCTTTCATTTTAGTATCTCAGGGACCCATCTGCTGCTGCTTCTCCAGCGGCGCTGGCTGCAAAGGACCTAAAGGCTGTAACGTGTCGTGGCAGTGTCAGTGATTTATAGGCAGGCAGAAGCTCCTTACCCCAAGTGACAGCATTTTGCAGAGCAAGAACCGATGCTGTTATTTAGTCGTGTCCAGGGTCTGGCCCGAGGTGGGACCTGGCAGCGACACGGGATGAATGAGTCGCTCTCTGGAAAAGAGCTTTCCCGTGGAATGGCTGGGAAAATTTTACAGAAGAGAAAAACTGACTCTGTAACTTGGTGCAGGACTTGCTCACAGTATAAAATTTGGTTTTGTGGTTTGACAGTTTTAATTGTTTCCCCAAGGCCAGTTCCCTGTCTCCCCATGAAACGATGACTGACCCGCAGGGGGGGACCTGCCGTGGGGCACAGCCCTGGCAGTTTTGGGTAGAGCATAATGAGAATTAAAAATAGAATTTAATGATGGTGAATTTGTTTTTATTTGGAATTAGGCTTTTTTTCTCATCTGACTCGATTATTGGTTTAATTTACTGAATAAATTATTTGGTTTTGACAGAGGTTGACCCGGAGTCTCTGAAGGTGGTGTATCGATCTCTGAGCTCTCCCACTCTTGATTTTGGACGTATCGGGCCAGATCCAGTTTCTGCTGCTCTTTTCTCCTTACAGACACAGCTATTTTTCAGTTGACCACCTGAAAGAGCAATCCCCTTTCTTTATGTCTGAGCAAAAACTCAAACTGGTTTTTAAGGTGTCCAGCCCCTTCTGAGGTTGCCGGGGCAGAGCTGAGGGAAAGGGCCCGGGAGGGACCCTCATCTCCTGTGTCTCCCTTTTCCCTCAAAGCGGGTGGGTTTGGGTCAGTCTGACGGTGACAGATTTCCTTCTGAGGAGCCTTGTCACCAGTGTCAGATGTTACCGAGCGTTGGAGCTTGTCTGGGGGGGAAGAAGAAATGTTTATCCCATTCGGGCTTGTTTTACCTGGCATGGACAGGGCTGCTGGAATCCGTCTGGTGCGGGGCTGCTGCCGCTCCGCTGCCGGCTGTTTTTCAAGGAAATCATGGGACTAAAAATAGTCTGCATAAACAACAGTTAGAGGTTTGTACTTTCAGTTCCAGGTTTTAGCAATATCTTGTTGTTATTTTCTAATTGTCAGTTTCCAAAATGCATTAAGCTGATTAGCAGAGTGTTTAAAAACAGAACAAAACAAAAAGCAAAAGCAAAACCCGCCTCCCGCCGAGCCTGGGCGGAGGTTGTGGGGCGGTGAGTGGGGCTGGCTCCTCACCAGCTCTGCAGCTTCCCCAGCCTGCCACCTTCTGAGCCATTTTCAAGCATCCTCCAGCTTGTGCAGCTGCCACACGGTTCTGAAACTGTGGTCTTGGGGGAGGGTGTTGTGTGGAAACACTCGGACTAGTTGGAATTCGTGATGGTTGTATGTATTTAACATCCTCTGTGCACTCACCAAAGAGCTTTGCTGCTTTTCCTTTGGATTAAAAAATAAAACAACTTCACAGCCTTGGAAGAGACAAGGAAAAAATCCAGTTTGCAAGTTGCAGACCACAATCTGTCATTGACTGTATCCTTGTCCATCTGTCTCCGGGTCCCCGTTCGGGACGGAAACGGATCTCCCTGCCCTGTCTCATGTTTTCGGGAGTGTGCTTGCTAAGATACATTTTTATGTGTTTAAAATTCCATCACTGAGACTAAACAAAATTAGACTAAAAGTAGTAGTAGTAGACTAAAAAGCTGGTACCAACAATTGACAGAACTATCAGTATTCCCTCTCGCTAACTGACCTTGTCATGAAATGGGTCTGGGGATTTCACTTACTTAAATGAATTATGGGGGTGACCAAATTTTAAAAATAGTCGCGTTACTTTCAGGAAAATGACATTTAGGAAATTCATCTGAACTGTTGCTCACTGCTGGTGGTAGCACATTGTGTTGTACCATTTATCTGAATAAATGACCTAAACTGAAGGAGGGGCTGGAAGGAGCCCAGGGTCCAGCCCTCTGCTGGGAGGGACACGTCCTCATCCCTCATCCCACCAGCACGGGAATGAGCAGGAGCACGTGGAAATCCACCAAAACACCCAGGCCTTGGGTGGCTGCTGGAACTGGAGAACAACAAGTCACGCTTTTTCTTTCCTTTCCCCAGTTTTCTAGACAAGATTGACATCGTCAAACAAAACGAGTACACGCCTTCTGACCAGGTAAGCACAGCTTCGTTAAGAGATTACACAGGTTATCTCTCCATCTTTGAGGGTAACTCTCTCCCTAATTATCTAACTGCCATCTGTGACACTAATTGAGGAATTACCATGTACTGTAGTTATTCAGAATTCCGGTAAAAATCACTTTATCACTTGAAATGAAATGATGTTCACCTGTGTAAACTAAACGTGCTGTGAAATGAAGAGCTGCCAGAATCCGGGACGCCCCGCGCTGCTGGGAACTCCAGGACACCTTGGATTTGCAGTGATTTGCCTCTTTGCTGAACAACTGTCCCACCCTTCCATCCATGCAGAGGTGGTGGTGGCCCCTCAGCCCCTCTGGCTCCCATGGAAACCACATTTTGTAAAAATAACTTTGTTAGAAGATTCTTCTTTTTTATTGGAATGGGAATTGTAGTTTTCATTTTGTTAGAGATAATCAGAAGATCTTTTTAGGACCAAATCCCTAATCCAAAATCACATGTATATTCCTAACTTCCTGGCCATAAATAATGCAATTAAGCATCTGGCATACTTCTGTAGTTAAATAACCCAAAGACATACTGATGTCCCTAAACTTCCGCAGACAGTGTTGATGGGAGAGGACAGTTTGTATCTTCAAAGTTGTTCAAGTATAAATTAACCATTCATCCTTTTAAAAATCTGAAGTTTTGTATAAATGAGGATTTTTATCACTGAGATCATTCTATTTTGAAGAAACAAAATACTAAAAACACAAGTTATTATATTTGAAATTTGGAGGAACTAATTTTCAGATAGGAAACAGATATGTTTCTGCCGCTGGGTACAAGGAGAATTGTGCAGTGTCTGTGTAACCCATGACCTTCCCTTTCTGCTCCAGGATCTTCTCAGATGCAGAGTTTTGACATCAGGAATTTTTGAAACCAAGTTTCAGGTGGATAAAGTCAATTTTCAGTAAGTATCCTTTTTTTTTTCCTTTTTTTTTTTTTTAATAGAATGCTGAGTTTTAGTCTGGTCTTGTTGACTTTAGATCTGTGATACCTGTTTCTGCAAATGACTTCTTGTGGGGTGTTTTTTAATGTCCTTGTGTCTTAGGGTGACAGTTAATCTGCAGTGTGCATGTGCCAGAATTTATACCCCCAGGTGCTGGTGAAAGCAAAGGCAGTTGTGCTTGTGGTGAGAGCTGTGTGCGGGTGTTGGTGCATTGATACCTGTTGGGGTTCTCAGAAACCTCAATTCCTTTCACCTTCTGTGACGTGAAAGTCCTAAAATGTCATGCATTTTCTGTTTGCATTTGGGGGAAGAAAAGCCCAAACACATTTTGTGTTCTGACTCAATTTATGGTTTTTTCCATAGTATGTTTGATGTTGGAGGGCAGCGAGATGAACGCCGAAAATGGATCCAGTGTTTTAATGGTACGATTGGAATTTATGTTTGTTTTATAAAATAGTTCTCTGGATGTTTTGTTTCTTTGGATGTTTCTTGTGAAGCGTGGTGTTAACTGGGGGTGTTTCTTGGTTTAGATGTGACTGCGATCATATTTGTGGTGGCGAGCAGTAGCTACAACATGGTTATACGAGAGGACAACCAGACCAATCGGCTTCAGGAAGCACTAAACCTCTTCAAGAGTATCTGGAACAACAGGTCTGTGGGGGCAGTTTTGCTGTTTGTGTGACATTAATTAGCGATGCCAGCCCGTACTGTGGGCAGGACTGGGGCAGTGGCCAGGAGAGAGGTCCTTTTCTTCATGGCAGCTCATACGGTGCCGTGGTGTAGGTGTGGAGTGGAACGGTGCTGAGAACACACCAGTGACACACCAAAGCCCCAGCCCCGGGGTGCACGCCCGGAGTCACACCAGCCTGGTGTAAAGGGACCTTCCCAAATTGCTGGTGTGCCCTGGGACTGGTCTCTGCTTCCCGCCTGATCCCGGCTTTCCCTTCCCCCTCTCTGCAGGTGGCTACGGACCATTTCAGTAATTCTTTTCCTGAATAAACAAGATTTGCTAGCAGAGAAAGTTTTGGCAGGGAAATCTAAAATTGAAGACTACTTTCCAGAATTTGCTCGCTACACTACACCAGATGATGGTAAGATTTCTAAGTTTTATTGGCATTTTATCATTTCCTTGTTAGATCACATTTGTAGTGGTTTTGGTAATTTCAGCTGAGACTTGAAAGCTCTTGGGTAGATGTAACATTCATTGTCTTTCAGCCAAACCGTGATGTTACATGTTAGGTGTTAATAATGAGAGAATCCTGTCCTTTGTACATTCAATATATTAATAATTCAATCCTGCCTTTGCTGCGTAGCCCCCGCAGTCACAAACACCCCCTGCCCCCGGCTGTTCCTGGGGTCTCTTCTCTCCTGGCAAACGCCCGGTGCCGTGGGCACCGCAATATCCCTTCGTTCTGAATCCTTGCTGGTTTAAATAAATAATAGGTTACGGTTTGGTTTATCTCATGGTCAGTTTTGCAAAGTGTGTGAGCAGAAAACAGAAGTAGTTACGATTTTAGGTGCTGTCACCAAAACCATTTGTTTTAATGAGATACTTATTTTATTATTAACCAGCAACACCGGAGCCTGGTGAGGATCCCAGAGTTACAAGGGCCAAGTATTTTATTAGAGACGAGTTTCTTGTAAGTATTTCCTTTCTTTCAGTATTTCTTATGTGGCTCTTCTCAAATACAAGCTTTTACATGCCTTCTGCTGCTGCAAAATGCTGTCACTTTTTGTGTTGTTTATATTTCACATCCATGCTGCATAAACTGCTTTTCTGTTCAAAGCTCCACTGCTGTTTGTTGGCGATTCTTTGGGTGTTGACACAATTAATAGCAAGAGTTGGTAAGAGTTAAGAAACCTCCAATAGAATGATGAGAACTGCTGTTATTAATGGGGCCAGATTTTTATTCCATGCATTATTTGTAAAGATAAAGACTAATCAAAAGATGCATCATCTGTAAAATATTAACGTTTTTTACCTCTTATCCTTCCCATTACTGGTCAGCTGAAGCTATAATAGATTTGTTTTCAAATACTAGTGCAGTTCCTGCAGTGGTGAGCACGGGAATCCTATTGTGGACTCATTCTACAATGGAGCAAAATGAAAGTTTGAGGGAGGGTTTGTGGAGGTGCAGAGCAGGGATCAGACCACGTCCATGGAGCCAAAATCCTCCTTTCTTCCTGGCCAAACTGACCAGGGGTCGGGTGGCTGAATTCACCAAATTCAGCTGCGTATAAATAACATCACTTCCCTGAGCTCTCCTTCAGCTCTGACACCCCCCGTATCCAGTCACCGTCTCACCGTAGAATTCTCATAATCTTAAATGTCAGGGTTCAGGTGAGAGTGGAAAACTGGGCATTTTGCTGCTTCAACACAACTCACACAAACGTGTCTTACCCTTCCTGCACCTGAGCTCTGAGAGTATGTTGTTTCCCCCAGTGGGTTGTTTTAACCCGGTGTCTCTCTCTCTCGTGTTACGCAGAGAATCAGCACGGCGAGCGGCGACGGCCGGCACTACTGCTACCCCCACTTCACCTGCGCGGTGGACACGGAGAACATCCGGAGGGTTTTCAATGACTGTCGGGACATTATTCAGCGCATGCACCTTCGCCAATACGAGTTGTTGTGATGGAGAGCACTTTTTTCTGTGTTTTGGACTCCTTATTCCTTATTAAAAAAAAAGAAAGAAGCCGCCCTTGCCCACACAGGGTGGCCGAGAACTGTTTGAATCTCCCATTGATTTGCACCCCTCAACTTTTTCTCCTTGCTGGACAATAGCAGCACTTCTAAGCTTGCTTCTGTACCCCTCGGACAGTGTGAGATGGCCCCTAACACTTAAAAGGCCGTTTCCGTGAGGATTCCCTAACACTGTTATTAACAAAAAAGAGAAACAAACAAAAAAAAGAAATAAAAACTAATTAATTAAATCCCTGAATGTGGAGCACCTGAAAGAATTGGGGATAATAAATTAAAACGTAAAACAAAAATTGGGGAGAGAAACCTGTAGGTGATTTGGCGCTGCCGTGGGCGTAGTCTCTAACCCCCATCTCCATTTGTGTCACTCGCTGCGTCAGAGCAAAGAAGGTGCCGAGTCACAGCCCGAGCTCGAAGACAGACCCCGGGGCTGGGGTCTCTGACTGTAACGCGGCTTTGAGCGGAAACACTGACAGTTCTCCAGCAGAGCCGGCGCAGACACCGCCCGAGCCCTCAGGAGGGGCTCTCGCCCGGCCGTGGTGGTCTCGGGACGACCAGGGACGCTTGTGCGCGGCGCTGCCTTCGGGCCGGGGCGGCCCAGTCCCCCCACACTGTTCTCAGTTGTCACTGACGATCCCGTCTGCTCGAAACCATCACCTGGACCGTGCTCCTCACAGTCCGGCCCTTCCTCCTCCTCCTCCTCTTCTTCTTCTTCCTCCCTCCTCTCATTTTTTATTTTACTGCTGGATTATTATTCTTGTACAGACTGTAAAATGTATTATTTTGTACAACTTTATTGAAAAGAAATAACTTGTAGAAGATCTTTGTGCCTTGATTATGGCTGTACCTGTACAATGAGCTAAGATGTAAGTATGTTTGATTGCGCTGTACAGCTTTGTCAACCCTATCTGCAGCATTAGCTCAAGGTAGGGAAAATTTATCTGTAGTTTAGTTTTTCTGGTTTATAAAAGAAGGAAAAATACTGTTTAGTAAAAAAAAAAAAGAAAAAAAGAAAAAAAAAGAGAAAAAAGTACAAATTGTGCAAACTTAACCACTTTAAAAGTGAGGTCTTCAACAAGTGACCAGATGTTGCAGCATCGTGCTTTTTAATTTTTAGCTTTAATTCATTTAAATCTCTATCCAAATGCAAAAACATGGCTTGTTTCTACATAAACCAAATTTTGCTACAAATTATAAATGTTAGTCTTTGGTCATTCATAGTCCTTTTTGCTGAAGGCAGAGCAGGGCGGTAGCGGACAGGCAGGGCACGGTGCCGCCGGGCGACCGGTCCCCGTCCCCGCGGGGGACACGGCGCGCTCTGCCCTCGGATTCGGCCACTCAACTCCAGTCCCAAACGACCTTTTTATTTCTCTTTTAATAAAGAGATACTTTAGAACCTTTTTGTTTTATATTAACTATATAAGTAGCTTAAAGTGAAGAAAATGTGTGGATTTTTCTTAAACTTGAATAATTTATGCAAATTATATGCTTAGAACAACATGTGGTACAGTAAAAAGAAAAAGAGCAAAAATCACTGTAGCAATAAGAGAGCATGTAATTTTAGTAACTACTACACTGCTTTATATTTTATACCTAGGTGTTTTATGTCTCTGTGAGTGTGTTACTTTTTCATGTGTCTAAACCTACGTGTACAATTTGTACAGTCAGCAATTACAGCTGTAACAGCCCCCCTAGAACAGTGTTAGCGAGATGGTCAGCGCCCACTCCCCTCATCACCCCGAGCTGCTCCGCGTCCCACGCAGGGACCGCGCCGGGGAGGAGACAAACCCGGCGCCAGCCCCTCGCCCCCGCGGCCCCCGCACCCGCCGGAGCTCTCTCCTTCGGGAAGATCCTGGCCCAAGCCCAGCTGGGGACGGTGGTGGCCCGTGGTGGTGCCCGTGGTGGTGGCCCGTGGTGGTGCCCGTGGTGGCGGTGCCCGTGGTGTTGCCCATGGTGGTGCCTGTGGTGGTGGTGCCCGTGCAGCGAGATTGGCTTCGGGCATCCCACATCTTTTTCACAGCCAGAACCGCAGCTGTTCGGGGCTGGGATTTTTCATTGCTTCTGTGGCTGAACTTTTAAATGACAATTAATCACCTCCTCCAATTTTACCTAACGAGCGGGGACTTGATGGAGTTACCGTCCCATCTCCCTAAATTCAAAATTACTGGTGATCTTCTAGAAGACACTAAATTGGCTGAAAATTGTAGCTGCGGCTGCTACTCACCTTTTTAAAATGATCTCTCCTGTTGCAGGTTTAGAAAGTGCCACCCGAACTCAGTAGAGCTGTAGGAGAACACGCCCGACGAGACGCCCTCCGGGTTCAGAATGTATCCAGTGCCTGTGGGTCACGGCTGGGCTTTCCTCCAGGCAGGAAAGGGACACGTCCTAGGAAGGAAATTTGTTGTGAGCCTTAATTTTAGTTACAGGAGCCAAAATCTTTAATTTAGTGCCAACCCCTGTGTCTCTAAGCCCGGGAGGAGTCGGTGTGAGCACCAGCCCCTACGTGGGGAAGCCCGTGGTGGTGTGAGGAATGTAACCTCTCAGCCGAGAGAAACAAAGCACCTCCAGTAACAAATCAAACCAATAAGCTTCTTCCTCTGCTAACGAGAAGGGTCCGTGTGACAGAGCTCTGTACGACAGCAGCAGCTGCAGAAACCCAAAGCTTTACGTGAACAGGAATGTTCAGGAGATGATGCTTTTTTTTTTCCCTAAAGTGAGGAAAAGGCAGTTGTTTTGGATGTGGTTGAGTTGCACAGGACGGAGTGTGTGTGTCTTAACGTCTCAGTATTGCCTTCCTTAGTCTCTAGTAGTCCTTGCGGTTTGGTGGCCTGGGAAACGCAAGTCTTATTTTTAACAGCTTTTTTTTTTTTTTTTTTAAATACAAAACCATAAAGCTTTAATGCTTGCTATTTAATAAGTAACTGTGTTTTCTTCTGTCTCTAATTTAGTGGCCATAATTTGCAGTTAATTGAACCATTCCAACCTAATGCTTACCCATATTTCCTAGTTTTGTTTTATTTATTTATTTGAACTTCTTGTTTTCATGATTGAGGACTTTCACTTCTGTCTTCTTCATCTGTTTGGAAACTTCTGACCTTACAGCCAAAACTTAATTCATTCTACTCAGTATTCGTGGTGATGCTGAAGTGTAAGATACCTGCAAATGTAAACACTACCACTTTGATTAATAAAAGCAAATCCAGTGTTTTAGGGCACGTCTGCATCGCTGCAGTGGGGGTTGTGTCAGTATTTCCCTTGGAGCCCGTGGCACCAGTTTGCCCGAAGCGAATCCTTTGCCGTACGAGGCTGCTTCTGCTCAGGCGTCATCCGGTGGGTTGGATTTTAAACACTTTCCAACACAAACTCTTGGTTCTCTTTTAAGTTTTACAACTGTTTTGTTGGCTGGGGGTTGGTTTAAAAAAAAAAAAAACAAAAACCAAAAAAACCAAAAACAACAAACAAACCTGGTTCGAAATTGGTTTTGGCACTTCTGTAACTCAGAAATGGTTTTGATTTTCAAACATAACCTTTGGCAAGCCAGTAACTACAATATGGTCTGATCACTTTGGGTATTTTGTAAAAATAATAATAAATTGTAGAGATGTTGTGGTTTCAAAATCAGCTCCTGGTGCATTTGCAGTAACTTATTTCAGCCCAAGAACGTGAAGGAACCCGTCCATCCGTGGAGGTTCAGCAGCCGGTGAGAGGCAGCAGAACAGCGGGGACTCCCCAGGTCCTTGGTGCCGTGGAGGTGAAGCTGGACTCAACCAAGGTTTGGCTGCTTGAGGAGCAGCGGGTCCTGCTGCCGCGGGGCCGGGCTCCGAGCGCCGGGGAGCAGCCCGTGCCCAGGCATTTCGGGATGTCGGAGGCAGGAGCCCCGAGGGCTGAGCTGCGTTTCCCTAAAGGCTGTTCTGGACGGTGGCTGGAGGACAGGGTTTCACCTGGAGCGTGTCCCTGTCTCCAGGGACTGGAGCTGACTCCCTCCCAGCGTGTTGCACAGAACTGGTACCTGCAAGGCCATTGTCTGTTACCAGCAGATCTATGCACAGAGACATTGTTTGTCACTTCAGAATCTGAGCGTGGGGTAATTAGTCGTGGTGCAATGTTCCTGGACATGATGCAGGATGTTCTGTTACACCCTATTTTCCAATGTCGAAAATTATGTACCAGGAAAACCAAAAGATACAAAGGTGATTCCACGGGAGATGGCTGGTGGGTCCAGAGACAGCCCCCAGGGCAGCCGGTGCCGCAGCGATAGACTGGTGGTGACTGGTGCTGTGCAAAGGTCCCAGACTGATCAAGTTGGTTACAGGTTAAAACATTCAGCAACTTGTTCTGGGAGAGAGCAATTTCTGTTCTGTCCCCAGCTGTATCTAATGTGTGTTCCTAACGAAGCTGGCACTCACAGGGCTCTCCTGTGGGGGCGGGTGATAAAGTCCCAGTAACTGCCAGCAGCAGGATGGGGCCGTGGGCGCAGCCGGTGGGAATCTCACGGAACAGCTCCTCGTCCCCAGCACTTGCTCCATTTGTAGAACAGTAAAAATACCTACAAGCAAACACCTGTTTGCAGCCCAAACCCAAACGGTGCTGAAAACTCATCCACTGGGAAAGTCTCTCTGTTCTGTGACAAACTTTGAAGTGTCTTTGTACATAAAACAAGCTACAAAGGGGATTTCTGCAGCTCCGCTGGTGAGAGCCGTTTCCCTGAGAAATCCCTGGTGACTAAGACAGAAATCCCAAGAGTGAACCCATTTCAGTCCCGGGCAGAACCAGTCTGCTGAAATCCCGTGTGCTTTGGGTTCCTGGGCACAAGACTGGGTTGGAGAGTGTCACTGCATCGCAGAGATGGCTAAAACCTCAGCCGTGAGTATGGGCTTCGTGATTAATTGTCTTCAACCCTGATTCTCACCTTATTAAAAGTTAAAACTGCTTTTTACTCTATTTTCAGTGTACTGAGCTGAGCAGAATGGGGGCAGTTTAAAGCACAAGTCCATTTGGAAAAGCAGCTTGGGAAGAGCTGGGGAGGCAAACTGATCTCTTGCCACATTAAATGTAAAAATAGTAAGGTGGGGTGGTTCTTCTCTAACTTCTGGGTCCTGTAAACTCAGCCCGGTTCTGTGGGAAAAATGGGGATTTCTTCCCTAGGTTAACAACAGCCAGTGCCCTCCGGTGCCTCTGCAACAAGGGGCGACTGACCACGTGTCTCATAGAAAAGCTGCTTTTTGAGAAAACCAAAAAAACCCACCAAACCAGAATTTACAGATTTTCCTAATTTTTTTCACTTAGGAAGTCTGCATCAAAAAAATTCTATTTTAATGACAGGACAGAATAAAGCCTTTAAACATTGTCCCAAATAGAGAGTGATACATTTTTTGAAGGAGAAAATGCTGACATGAGGCATGTATCTTAAGGCGCTTTCTAAGGCTGGGGAACCAGCAGACAAATATAAGCAAATTCAAAATTAAAATGTGAATGTATCTCTTCACTTTCATTTTCTGAACCTTCTCTTAAGGTAATGTAATACCTACTCTGAAATCACCTTCAGATAACTTGTCCTGCATCTTATATCACTGTATATCATCACAAGCCAAAACAAAAGAGCTGGTGAAGCACAGGAGGTATAGAGAGGGTTCTTTTTAGACTCTCAGAAAACACTTTTTCTTACTTGGTTTGGGATAGATGAAATTCAGGTCTGGTATTTTCTTAGGAGTTCTGCCCAGTTAATCGCTCTGTTCTGAGTACGCCATTATTTTCTCACGTCTGTGAGATGGAAATTGCCCGCTAACTAAATGGAGATAGGCCAAAGCCTTTTTCTCAAGGATATTTCCATTGGCCTCCAGCCTCAGCCTGTCCTTCCCTTCCAGCTCTTCCCTCAGAAAAAATGGGCAGTGGTTCCGTAAGCGCTGAAACGTCACCTCACCCTCATCCCGGCCGCCGGCGACAGAGCGACTGCCTGGCACAGGCAGAGAACGTCTCCGTCGTGCCTCTGCCTCCATCCATGCCTTTTGTTCTGGAAAGATCTCTTTTACTTTCTGTTGACAGAGCAAAAAGAAAATTATCCTGGGTTCACAAAAGAGTTGAAGAAATGTTTCCAAAAGGGTTGTTTCACCACTGTAGGGCAGCATATGACAGCACAACTCGTGCTCTGCGGCAGTTCAGGTGGTGCTGTGTATTTTCTACAGTGAAATTTAGGTGCAGTAATCCCTTTAACCAGTACAGTGACCACGCTTGAACAAGGAACGTGTCTCTTGAACATCCTACAGCAACTTAGTTCTGAACAGGGCTTTTTGGCCTTTCCTACCAAGCGATTTCGTGGACTGCATGGAAGACTATGTCATTCCTTTTCACTATTTTTCAGTTAGAGACGGAATGAGAATAAAGGACCTTTTAAATACTTAATCAGTGATGCTCTTGGCTGCCCTCCAAACCCCAGAACACACCCTCGCCCTCCCCTTTCTCACGGTTAAACTCTTACACAACTGGAGAAGGGGAGTCCGTCTGAGGAGAGACAAGGGGACACTGTTTCTCTCCCGTGGTTTCCGTTTCGGTGGTGCCTGTCTCCTTGCCTAAGGTCAGATTGTTCCATCAGGTGTCATTTACACGTATCCCCTCTTCATGTGTCTGTAACTCCCCCCTCACCATCCCCTCGGACCCGGGAAGGGCTGTCCCCAGGTGGGCACTGCCACCACCGCGGGCATCCATCTTCCAACCGGGCAAACCCCCCGGGGACGGGGACGGGGCTCACACAGCACCGGGCTCTGCCGCCCAGAAACGGAACCGGCAACTGCAGCCCCAATACTGTTATTTATAGGGAATACCCTTGGTTTATTCAGACTTTTTTAGATCAAAGACTTCAGGGTTTTGTCTTAGGCTAAAAAGTAACTGCCAAAAAAATGTATTTGCAATGAGGAACGGGAGAAGTGTTATTCAGTGTAACTCTCCGGCAAGTTCTGGGTACTGAGTTACACCAATGCTGCTCCTAAAACTTCACCAATAAACTCTGGTCCTAAAAATCCTACCGCTTCCACTCCACCGAAGTAATTCTTTTTTTCTCCTACTTGATAGTGTTTTTTGAATTCCACGATGACGTTTGATCATTCCTGTCCCCGTGGCTCCCCAGGCCCCAGCCGCTGCCCCGACCCCGCAAGGAGCGTCGCTCCGTCCTCCCCCTGCCCCGGGACCCCGTCCCTCAGCGCCGGGACCCCCGGGTGCCGGAGTTCGCTTTTCAATCCCCACAGGCTTCGTTTTCCCCTCAGCCTCCATCTCCCCCTCGGCCCGTGCGGGCTCTGCCTCGGCTGAGAGAGAACGGCCGAGGCCGCGACCCCGCCGGGCAGCTCCCAGCTCTCCCCGTTTCATTTTCATCGGCCGCCGCTCGTTTGCGGCCCGTTCCCGCCCCCCCTCCCCGGGCACCGGCCGCCCCCGCCGAGGCGAGAGGTAACGGGCACGGCCTGGGCCCGGAGACTCCCCGCCGTCTCCAGCGGCTGAGAGAACAGGGATCCCCGCTCCGAGCGCCCCCCTCCTCGGCTCGGCTCGGCTCGGCTCGGCTCGGCTCGGCTCGGCTCGGCTCGGCTCGGCTCGGCCGCGGCCTCCGCCGCCTCAGGCTGCCCGCGCCCGCCATGGCGCTCCGCTCCGCCCCGCTTCCGGCCGCCGCGTCCCCGTCCCGGGGCGGGGCGGGAGGAGCCATGGAGGACGCCGATTACTTCGAGGGCAGCGCGGCGGAGTGGGGCAACGAGGCGGACGGAGGGGCGGTGAGCGGAGGGGCGGTGAGCGGCAGCCCGGCGGCGGGCCCGGGGCGGCCCGTGAGGGGAGCGCAGGCCTCCGCGCCGCCCCCGGAGCGGAGCGCTCTGCCGGGGGACGCCGCCTGCTCCCGGGGGAGCGACCGGGCCCTCTCGGCCTTTTGCGGGCGGGGGAGCCGCGGCGGGGCTCCGGGTCGGGGAGGAGGAGAAGAAGAGTGGCGGTCGCGATCGTGCGGGTCGGTGTCTGCGGGGAGCTGCGGTGTGAGGGGCGGGGGGCGCGGGCCGGGGGCCGGCTGAGCTGGCGGTGCTTGCGGTAGCAGGACGACGAGGATGGAGAGGGAGAAGACGATGCCGAGGTGCAGCAAGAATGCCTCAAGAAATTTTCGACCCCAGACTACATAATGGAGCCGTCTATATTTAACACGCTGAAGAGGTGGGTGTGTGCCGCGGTGTGTGTGAGGTGTTGCTGTGCCTGGGGC